AAATGCTTTTCATTTTTAGTATAAACTTTAAAAGGAAATAAATAATAATATAAATATAAAATAAAAAGGTGATTATCCAGGGAGACAACTAATGGAAGTTATAATGGAAACTAATCAATTTTTTTTTTATTCTTTATTAATTACTTTTCTCGGTCTATATGCACTAATATAATTATATTATGTTATTTACATAATTATATTAATAGTTTCCTCACTCAAAAAAAGTTTTTTTTATTATTGTAATCAAGAACTAAGTTTTAATTTCATTACTTCTATTAATTTGGGTATCTTATATAAATATTAAGAGTAAATTGATTATTAATTAAGAACACCAATAGCAGCGAATAGGAATAATAATTTTCAATGCAATTCTATTGGTTCTTTTAAATATATTGATATTTTAATTAATTAATTTTATTTGTCTTTCATTAGCAACCACATATCGATACTTCAGTGGTTGATATCATTACATCTATTTCGAGGTTATACGTTCACATTTTATTAAGAGTATATAATCCAATCACTTTATGAAGAATTATTATTATCAATAATTATTTTATAATATTTAATTTAGTATAGTGTAAAATTTTAAGTTATTAATATGGTTGTAATAATTAATTTTAATAAATCATAATGTATTTAATATAAAAAATATATTTTTTACCAATTATACTATCTTTGTTGGTAGTAGCAAAAAAAAAAAACCATGCTCAAACTTTTTTTGTTATCAACAAATTATCCTCCATCAAATTCAAAATAATATAATAATATTTACATACATTTCTATTTAAAATACTATAAGAATATTTACATACATTTCTAAGTAAAAAATTATTTCAGAAAATAATTTATTTATAGTAAGTAATCAAATTATGTTTCATATAATTACAAATTTTTATTAATTATAACTCACGAGAAAAAAAATTATAGATAAGTCGTCTTCTAATTAGTTTTTTTTTAGAAAAAAAAATTATATTCAAATATCTAATATTTATATTGTTGGATTGGCTTTTTCCTTGATGGATTGTCAGGCCATGTTTGTTTTCTCTCCCAACCCAGAAAACAGCATTTCATTTAGTGGAAGTGCTATGTTTTTGTGTGCACAAGCGCAGGTGTAATTGGTGAGCTCAGGTATATATTGATCTCTTCCAGCTTCTGATATCATTTTGTATTCTCTTGGTCAAAACCCTAATAAGGTTTCCTCCTTCGCTGTTCTGTTAGGGTTTTGTCTCTACGTCGAATATAATCTACTTTTTTCTCATTTCATTCTGTAATGTTAGGAATTAATTTTTAAAAAAATTAAAATTAATGTATAAAATATAATTTTTTAAATTTATAAATTTTTATTTAATACAAAAATTAGTAAAAAATAGGTGGATGATAAAATTGAAAATAATTTTAAAAAAACGGGTGAAATTTTGGATTTTTAGAGTGTTTTTGAAAGAAAAATTAGAAACTTTGGGTCAAAACGTAATTTAAAAAAAAAATTTGTCACGTAAGACTGCCCAGTCAGCAGCTCCGACGAACCGGAGCGCGTTGCGTGGCAAGGCGCACCGCGTGGCAAGGCACGTTGACGCGGTGCCACGCGGGAGGCCACGTTGGCAATCCGTGTGCCTGTGATCGGACGGTCCTGATTTATTCCCGCACGCGTCAACGATCCGGATCCGTTCCCTCCTCAGGCGCGATCGGACGGTCGCGATTAAATGCGATGAACGGTACAGATTTGTTTTCTTTTAAACGCGATCGTACGGTCCATATCAAATTACAATGAATGGTCCATATTCATTTTCTCTTTAAAGGCGATCGGACGGTCCAGATTAAAGGGAGACGGATATAAATACATCACTTCACACCAAACCCTAACCCTAGTCGTCAGCTCTCTGCCGGAAAAAAGAATCAGTCGCTGGAGAAGGGAGCCGACCGCCGCCCACTGCCATACTGAAGCTACCTCCGACCGCCAAAAAAGGTAAAAAGAATTTAATTCACTTGAAATTTGATTTTGAACACCCTCATGACTAAATCTGAGTAAAAAGACCAACAGATGAGCTGAAAACCGTAGGTAAAACCCAGCGATGCCGCCGTAAAAAAAAAAATCAAAATCACCTCTGATGAGGCCCTTCCAGATTTCCGTTTCATGCAATTTCTTCACCTTTTCCAAAGGTTGATCGAAGAAAAATGAACAACCACGAAGGTGAGCCTGCAGCGCCGCTGCACCGAAAGACCCCACCACCGATAAACTTCTATTTTTTGATTTTTTTCGGCCAATCAAGACCCCTGAACGTGTTTTCACACATGGATGAGTATAAAATCAGCTAAAATTGGCTTTTCGGCCAGTCCGAGATAAACTACCACCGCGGACAGTGGTGCCGCCGTGCCAGAATTTTGAAATTGACCACAAAAAGTTTTTAACACCGATTTTGAGTTTTTTAGGGTATTTCTAAGTATTTGAAGCTTGTTTTAGTCTCCAAAGAAAAATTTAGAAAACCCAAAGATTACTAATAAGCGTAGCTAAAATCTTAGTATTTCGGATATCGATTCGAGTAAGAATCTCTCACCCTATTCTTTGTTATGGAATTGAAGTCTAAATATAAATAATATGGTATTTTGCGTAATTTAAAAAATTTTGGTAATTAATTACAGATTACTAATGGAGTCGGAACCGGTTACTTAGCATTATTTATGTTGTTTTAATTGATTGACTGATTTTATAGTTTTAAATGCATGATAATACGCTGGAGTTGGTAAGATAATTCAGTTGTATTTTCTTGATGCATGTGTTATTTATTTCGCGTGATTTATAGTTAATTTGTGAACTGGAAATTAAATATAAATGCGAATTGCTTATTAAGTGAATGAATGGATTGT